ACTACCTTATATAACTACTTTAGAGAAACCCCCTTACATAATTACCTTGCATAACTACCTTATATAACAACCCTAGTTAATTAGCTGCCTTACATAACTATCTTATATAACAACCCTAGTTAATTAGCTGCCTTACATAACTACCTTATATAATAACCCTAGTTAATTAGCTGCCTTACATAACTACCTTATATAACAATCCTAGTTAATTAACTGCCTTACATAACTACCTTATATAACAACCCTAGTTAATTAGCTGCCTTACATAACTACTTTATATAACAATCCTAGTTAATTAGCTGCCTTACATGACTACCTTATATAACAACCCTAGTTAATTAACTGCCTTACATAACTACCTTATATAACAACCCTAGTTAATTAGATGCCTTACATAACTACCTTATATAACAACCCTAGTTAATTAGCTGTCTTACATAACTACCTTATATAACAACCCTAGTTAATTAGCTGCCTTACATAACTACCTTATATAACAACCCTAGTTAATTAGCTGCCTTAGATAACTACCTTATATAACAACCCTAGTTAATTAGCTGCCTTACATAACTACCTTATATAACAACCCTAGTTCATTAGCTGCCTTACATAACTACCTTATATAACAATCCTAGTTAATTAGCTGCCTTACATAACTACCTTATATAACAACCCTAGTTAATTAGCTGCCTTACATAACTACCTTATATAACAATCCTAGTTAATTAACTGCCTTACATAACTACCTTATATAACAATCCTAGTTAATTAGCTGTCTTACATAACTACCTTATATAACAACCCTAGTTAATTAGCTGTCTTACATAACTACCTTATATAACAATCCTAGTTAATTAGCTGCCTTACATAACTACCTTATATAACAATCCTAGTTAATTAACTGCCTTACATAACTACCTTATATAACAACCCTAGTTAATTAGCTGCCTTACATAACTACCTTATATAACAATCCTAGTTAATTAGCTGCCTTACATGACTACCTTATATAACAACCCTAGTTAATTAGCTGCCTTACATGACTACCTTATATAACAATCCTAGTTAATTAACTGCCTTACATAACTACCTTATATAACAATCCTAGTTAATTAGCTGCCTTACATGACTACCTTATATAACAACCCTAGTTAATTAGCTGCCTTACATGACTACCTTATATAACAATCCTAGTTAATTAACTGCCTTACATAACTACCTTATATAACAATCCTAGTTAATTAACTGCCTTACATAACTACCTTATATAACAATCCTAGTTAATTAGCTGCCTTACATGACTACCTTATATAACAATCCTAGTTAATTAGCTGCCTTACATAACTACCTTATATAACAACCCTAGTTAATTAGCTGCCTTACATAATTGCCTTAAACTTAAAATTGGGGGGAAGGAAGGGTCGGGTTGTGTCCTCAAGTGGTCTGGTCCCTCAAGTTTCGGCTCCCTTGGGTAACGGTGTATCCGGATAGATACAGAAACATGCAGATGCAGTGACACGTGTAGATACAGTAGCACACATTAGCAGAAGAAACACATTGAACTTGACTGTCGTTTGGAGTGTTCCGGCTAAAGTGAAGATTACTCACATCAGATTACATACTGTCTGCCTAGAAATCAAGGGATGCCCTCTGGGCCAGGAATTAATGTCTTCATTACTTACCTGGGGAAGACGCGGGTACTGGGACAGGGAGATATTATCTGCCACGCGATGATTGTTATCACGGTCCGCACCGCTGTTTTAACAGCGCTATCCGGACCGCCGCGAGGTATGGGGACCGACTGTACTGAGTGTTAGAACAGTTGTGGGATTGTGTGAATGTGTATGAGGGTGTTAGTGTGTGTGTGTGTGTGTGTGTGTCACTGCGTGGGGTAGCTGTGCATGTAGGTGTGTGTTCGTGTCTCAGTGTTAGTGTATGTGACAGGTGTGTGAGTGTGTGCGTGTATGTGTGTGTGTGTCACTGCATGGAATGGCTCTGTATGTAGGTGTGTTCGTGTCTTAGTGTTAGTGTATGTGACAGGTGTGATGGTGTGTGTGTGTGTGCCTGTGTATATGTATGTTGGTGAGAGTGTTCAGGTATGGGTGTGTGTGTATGTGCGTGTGGCATTGAGTGGTGTTGCTGTGTGTGTTTGTGTCTCGGTGTTAGTGTATGTGACAGGTGTATGTCTAGGGGTGTTCGGCTGTGGGTGGGTGTGTATTAGTGCTCGGATTAGGATGGCGATCATGTCTCCCACAAACTGCGATCTTCATCAGCATGTGTCAGTTCGTGTCTTGACACCACCAATCATGACACGACAAAAGGCCGTAAAGAATCTTCTCGCATTGTCTTCCTGTGTCTCCTTTTCCTTAGATCTTTCCAGTTGTCAGATATTTCACTTTCCTCGTCATAATATGACCCCTACCCCCACCCCCAAAAATATTAACTCTCTTTCAGATATTTGTAATAAGGTGGATCCTGTTCACGTTTCTCGACCCATCTAAACACTGTCTGATCTTTAAATCATATTTTGTCAGACTCTTTTACGTCGGAGGAATGTCACGTTGTCTTCCCACCAATTACATCAGCGCCGATGTCGCTTGTTCTATACTACACGACGACACAACTTTCAACTACCCCAGAACATGTAAAACCGGACCTAACCCAAACGCCTCTGCTCGCAGCCCCAGCCTAGGTCCCACGAGAGTCTCTTTTAGAATAAAGCAGTACAAGGGACACCCCTCTGACCTAGATCAGACTGAGAAAGTGTGTAGATGGACCGGGAAACGTGAACAGGTCCATAAACTGTCTTCCAGACCTAGTCTTTTTCAAAATATCTAGGCTGCTCTTTTTTTAGCTGTCAGTGAAATTTTAAAGATTCTTTTCTAAAAACCACAACTCCGAGGCCTCGGGAAATTGTTGGGCTTATTTATTAATTGTTTAAGATCCACATCCATATGTTAAACCTGGCTCGATTTAGAAAGCAAGAATTCTTTTTCTAACCTTCACTGGCAAAGGGTTATTGCATAAAATGTTCTTCCTTTTACAAAGTGAAGTTTTAAGCTTTTCATATTCTTTTCTTCATTTCTGTGAAATATCTTCCGTCAAATGTTTTGTGTGTGTGTGTGTGTGTGTGTGTGTGTGTGTGTGTGTGTTCGCGCGCGCGCCTAGACACTGAAATGTATGTACTTGTCCTAAAATAACAGCTTTCACTGTTATTGAACATATAGACATTATTCTTTTCTTTGATATTACCATTACCCATGTCTTCCTATTATTCAAGCTTAGGCTCATTCTTTCTCGTGTGGGTTCCAGAGCTCCATTGTGGGGAAAACGAGAATAGACCCACAGCCTACCCAAAAAGCATGGCGTAAGAGTCTGGTAATTGGGAAGTCGGGGTGCATCTTCCAGAGCGGCAAGGACACATTATCTGCACACAGTAATCACTCCAGTAACACGGATGTACACGCAAAAGGCCCTGACATAACGCCAAAGTCTAAATGGGCGAACAACCAGGACTTTCCTCTGAAACTCACAGATATACAACACGCAAACACACAAAAAAGTAAGTAGAGGACCCTTTTCAACGCCTTTCAGGCGTATTGGGTATATATGGCTAGACCAGCCGGTCTTGGCTAGACCTAAATTTTATAGACCAAACGGCCCTTGGCGAGTGAAATGATCAGCATCACGCCGGCTGCCTTTACTTTCCATGACTCTACCTGGTACCCACTCAAGACTGGGTCGACCTCGGCGCCAAAGTCATTTTTTTAACAAAATCCGGCCCTCATCGGAAACCGAACCCACGAGCTTCCGATCCGCAGGCGAGCATCTAGCCGCTAGGCCGCAGCGGCTTCCCCATAAACACAAAAGTCCGACCAAATCAGAACGCGTGCCGTCTTTTGAAAGGACTTCCCCGAAAGAGGCGGGTCTTGGAGTGGCTCGCGTCAGCACGTGGAGTTGAGCGCCGCTCCTGTCGTCAGAAACGGGCGACATAAAAATGTGTCCTGAGATTAGTGCGGTCGTTCGTTTGAGTTGATGTTGGGGTGCAACAAGTGTTGTCGGCCAGATCCAGGGTGGTGTTCCTAAGAAAAGTAAAGTTACTGAAGTTACATTTCCAGGAAATATTGATTGTAGCCTTTGGCAGTGATAGTAGTATCAACAGTACCGGCAGCAGTACCACTAGTATTATTATTATTATTATTATTATTAGTAGTAGTAGTAGTAGTAGTAGTAGTAGTAGTAGTAGTAGTAGTAGTAGTAGTAGTAGTAGTAGTAGTAGTAGTAGTAGTAGTAGTAATGGTGGTGGTGGTAGTGGTATGAGTAATTGTAACATAAGCTTATAATATTATTAATAATAATAATTATTATAAATACTACTACTACTACTACTACTACTACTACTACTACTACTACTACTACTACTACTACTACTACTACTACTACTGTTACTACTACTACTACTACTACTACTACTACTACTACTACTACTACTGTTACTACTACTACTACTACTACTACTACTACTACTACTACTACTACTACTACTACTACTACTACTACTACTACTACTACTGTTACTACTACTACTACTACTACTACTACTACTACTACTACTACTACTACTACTACTGTTACTACTACTACTACTACTACTACTACTGCTTTTGCTGTTGCTACTGCTACGACCACTACTGCTGCTGATGGTGCAGCTGCTGCTACTACTACTGTTACTACTGCTACTGTTGCTACTAGGACTGCTTGCTTGACTAGTATTGCCTTTTACTCCTACATTTGCGTTACAAGTGTTGTTACTACCGACATTTATTACTATTATTAATATTATTATTACACATTTAAATAGATTTATGTGTATAAACAGAGACATATAGGAGAACGGAAACGGTTGCCGGAAGTCGCCGACGATTCTGTCCAGCTTCCCCTCGTCAACACATTTTTGAGACCCCGGTGCTAGATTTGTGTCGTTGGGCTCTCTTTCTCCCATGGAAGTTAATGCCCAGGTTGGCGTGGATGGCGTCAATTCCAGCCAAAATGACATGGATTTACGGAAGCAGCGCCGTGTGGCGTCCAAAAGGGTAAGTTGACATTTGATAATCTGTTTTCTCGCGATCAGATGCAGTAAACTCCGACGGAAGGCTCTGATTCTTCGTCTATCTATAGATTCCAGTGTTTCTCCAGAACCTGAGAGCTGCAGGCACATCAGTTTTTACAGATCTGGCTTATTTTTAATGCACACTGTTGGTTCCTTGCCTCTCGGGCAGATGCACTCCGACTTCGATGGGTTCCCTCAGATAGTTGACTTACACAATATGCTTTTGTGGGAGGCAGTGGGTCTATTCTTTCCACTCTCTGTTTATTTATGTGAATTATGTGTGCACAATGGAACCTACCAATCAAATACCTTTCTTCAATGTTTCTGTATTCTAGACGTAGCATTACGGTCTACTGTATCTGTAAATTGTGGCTGTGTTTGGTATTCGACGTATGCTTCTTTAAAATTAATTTATATTACCTATGGTGTCATTTCAATGTTTTAAGATGCATTCTGTCCTTATTCCATAGCAAGATTTCAAGCTGTATGATAGACATGGCCTATGAAGACACTTATTTTGGGGGGTGTCTAGTTGGCCATGTTCTTAGTACACTTGTTTCCATAGCGAAGCACACACGTCAGTCAATACATTTATGTTTGTTTATTACAATTTACTTTTTATTATATGATATGCGTTAATGTTTGATTGATTATTTGGCATGTGTTTTTAATGTTTGAACGTAAAACACGCGCAATTGCTTGATCGTCAATTGCATCACTAATCGTTCGTTGTAATAAGCAGACAAATTGTTGACACAGTCTAGTGCTTCACCTGCTGATGTGTGTGTGTGTGTGTGAGAGATTTGTTTTAATCCCCACTTGAATACTACGTTATGTCCTACTACCTTATATGCTAGAGGCGCCGACAAAATAAAAAATTTAAAATGGTTTCATCACCGTTGTAATTTAAAGGATGCCTTAGTGAGATTAGGCCTTGTTTAAGTGTACAATAAGAATGCGAATGGCTTCAAGGGATCCGATCCTTCAGGTTTCGGCGCTTATCTTTGATGCTACTGCATGTCCTGAAAAAAAAATGTTCACCTCCACTCCCATTTTTTAAACATGCAACGAAATGTTTACCTTACCCCGCCCCCCCCCCTCTCTCTCTCTCTCTCTCTCTCTCTCTCTCTCTCTCTCTCTCTCTCTCTCTCTCTTTGCCCCCTTTTACTCTTCATGCTACTACATGTCATGATGTTTTTTCTGTATCACAGACAAACAAGCCGCTGATAGAGAAGAGAAGGAGAGCCAGGATCAACGAGTGCTTGCAGCAGTTAAAGGAGATCATAGTCAGGGACCGCCAGTTAGATGTGAGTCAATATGTCTGTTGACATTGTTTTCTTATGAACAAGAAGAAGAAGAAGAAGAAGAAGAAGAAGAAGAAGAAGAAGAAGAAAAAGAAGAAGAATTGTCACTCTTTTATTGGGAAAAAAGGAGGGGGGGGGGGGTTTCAAGGGACGTGAGCTTCCTGGTTTTTCGGCCTACGTGAATAACTTCCCATAATTTCCTCCATCATATTAGTCTTTCTGACCTCAACCCTGTCATGTTATTTCTAACCAGGAAACAAACTATGTTTGATAGCACGAAGGACGAAGCACTTTCATATTGTTATTCACAGGACAGACGGGCAGACGCAGACGGACAGTATCATTAGGATGGGTTGATATAGCTTTTCCTCCATTTGAAGTCATTCACGCGAAGTCACTGCACTGATGTTGAAACTAAGCCGACTTTAACAAACAAAAAAGCTGACGCTAATTAATGGATTCAAAAGGGGGGGGGGGGGGGGGGGCTGAAATTCAGGGTTCAAGGGACTTGCCTTAAGTATGTATGTGCCTATTACAACCAATACTCAGTAAGTTGCGTATCCTTTACATAACGTTGCAGAACCATCTCCAGCATTTTTGGGTGTTTTTTTGTTTGTTTGTTTGTATGTTCAGTAATGTGCCACTGCTAACTGAAAGGTAAGATCTAGGCACTACTGTCGAAACCAGCGAAAGACGAATAGCCCGCAGCTGGGATCGTATTACTGTACTACTACTATAGCCACTAACACAACAACAGCAACTTCTACTACTCATTCTTCTCTTCTACGATCCCCTCATTCTCCGCTCCCTCCGCCTTCTTCCTCCGCCTTTTCTTACTTTCCATTCTTCTTCTGGCAGTTTGTTATTGATAACTAAACCATCGGCGTGTCCTCGTCATAACCCGAGTAGTTCCCCTGTGTGGGTTTCGGGACACCATTTTGGAGAACAAAGAATATACCTACAGCCCCCTCCCCCACTCCCTATTCTCTCACCCACACAACAAACATACAGGAGGCACAAGTAACGGGTGTGTCTTTCTGCCTAAGAAACAAGAAACTGACAGTCTGCAGACGAAAAGCCAGATATGTACAACGGATGCGCACGTTCTGGGTTAGGGCCAAAGTCCAGGAGTCGACGAAAAACCAGAACTTTACGCCGCAGTTTACAGCCGGTAAATGCTAAGAAGGAAAAGAAACCCAGCTGTGTTTCTCAAAGTCACGAAGACTAGAACTTTCGCTGGCTATGGCTACCTGAGAACTGTCGGCGTTTCTGGAATCATCCAGAATAGTGATAATGCGACCGGAAACGTCTCTTAAGAGGAAGCTGGTCATAAAGGTCGTAGGTCACACTTTCATAAAGCTTTGACCTTGTGTGTGTTTTTGTGTGTGTGTGTGTGTGTGTGTGTGTGTGTGTGTGTAGATGTATATATATATATATAGTCTTGTCACATGACCATCATAAGTGTACTTCCCGTCCTACTTAGGATGAAATTTTTCGTTAATTGAAGCCCTACGCTGGCTTTGCCAGGGGCCGCAATATAGTCTGTCCTTAAATATGGTCTAAAGGCTAAACGCGGTTTCTGGAACCTCTCCAAGGTGATCCTCACCCACATGGTGGCACATTGTGTCACCGGGTGTTATCATGTCCTGGTGGGGTAGAAAGTCAGTCAGTCAGTCACATGACCATGTAACGGAAATGCTTGTCCTGAGATTAGCTTCACACTGAAGAAACTAATTTGACACTACAAAGGGAGTTTTCCCGTGTTGCTTCCCTGACCCTATGTGTGTGTGTGTGTGTGGGAGGGGGGGGGGGAGCATAGACCAACCGTTCGTTAACAAGTACGTCTAAAAGGGTGATTCTAGAGTAGTTTGCTGAAAACGGATGTGTTAGGCCGAAATGTGATAATATCGCAGCCTAGCAGTAAATCACAACACACCGTGTCACATGCCCTATTAAGCGCGAATGCATAACCGCAGAGGAAGAAGAAGAAGAAGAAGAAGAAGAAGAAGAAGGAAGAAGAAGAAGAAGAAGAAGAAGAATGAGCTGTGGCTGGCTTGGTGCGGTACCTGCTTCTGTACCTGGTCGGGAGAAAGGGCAAGGGAGCAAACAGGGGAAGAGAGAAAAGGTAGGGGTAGAAGGTAAGTATTTTAACACAATTTATACATGGGGGAGGTATCTCAAAGGACCCAAAGGTCCTTAGTTGCCCTGCCGTGAACAGATCTGTCGCCCTGCCGTTAACAGATCTTCAGGACTGTTCATCGTTCATCCGCCGTTTACCAAGTCTCCATCACGATGTTTCACACAATCCATCCTCACAACGTGATGGCCGCCAGATAAACAAAACAAAAAACAGACACGAATAGACACCTTTAGAACCTCTAGTCCAGATAGGATCCGGTATCAACGAAACACTGACGAAAACGTATCCTTGTGCAGGATTTGTATCTTTCAAATTGCCCATCTAGTTTTTTGTAAGATGCCATCTTTTATCTTTTTTTTTTTTTTTTGCAAGGAAAGTTATGTAGACGAGCGAAGCCTCATTTTGAAAGACACGCGTGGAGCAATTCGGGTGTATTGTGCTTCTTCAATGGAGGTTTGAGTAGCTGAACTGGGGCGATGTCAAAGCGGGAGTTGCTGCTACAATGGCAGGGTGACATGAGCTGATCTGGAGATTGAAGGATGAGACTGGACACGCGACTATATTCTTCTGTCGGAGAAAGGAAGGCGGGTTATGCGGCTCTGATATTGGCCACCGTCACTTTTTCTTGGAGCTCATTCTAGTTAAGCGGCGTCTGTGGCTTAGGCGTTGCGAGTCCGACTCGTAATCCAGCGTACCGCGATCGAAACCCACTGCTGGCTGCGTGGATTTTTATCATGGTATGGGGCGTCGCAGGTCGACCCAGCCTCAAATGGGTACCAGGATAGGCTGTCCTGGGAAAGTAAAGACAGCCGGCGTAATGCTGACCACATTATCCACCGAGTGCTGATGGTCTGTACAAATATGGTGCTCTTCCCATATGCCTTATACGCCTAAAGGCGTGGAAAGGGATCATTCATCATTATTTTTTTTTTTGGTGTACATTCTAGTTAAAGGTGTCGAATCGAGTTTATCAACGGTTTTCCGCTAGGCTTGTTTCATATCTGTTGTTCTGGATTCTTCTTCTTCTTCTTCTTTTTCTTCTTCTTCTTCTTCTTCTTCTTCTTCTTCTTCTTCCTTCCATGTTCTCCTTCAATTCTTCTTATTTTTCTTCTTCTTTTTCTGCACTTATAACGGACAAGTAAGACGCTACACAGAAATCAGTTCGGTGATCGTCAATGGAAGCCAGCACAACAAATATTATCCCCCTTTAATCAACACTGAGAGAGATACCTGCTGCGATATTCTGGACGCCCCTTGACGCCCACTGACGCCCTGTTACGCCCTACCGACAAAAGCCAGGGAGCCGCCCATGTGAAAGACGGATGGAGTATCAATGATGGCCGACTCCATTTTACGACAGTGTGCAGACTCGGTTAGCGTAGTGGATCCTCTGACACGAGAGCTGTTTAAAACTTAGTGTCGTCCACACCAGTGGCGCTCAACCTTCTTGACGCCCCGACCCTTTAATGCAGTTCCCACATGTTGTTTTAATCCTTTAATGCAGTTTCCTCATGTTGTGGCGACCCTTTAATGCAGTTCCCACATGTTGTGGCGACCCTTTAAAACAGTTCCCATATGTTGTGGCGATCCTTTAACACAGTTCCCTCATGTTGTGGCGATCGTTTAATACAGTTTCGTCATGTTGTGGCGACCCTTTAATACAGTTTCCTCGTGTTGTGGCGACCCTTTAATATAGTTTCCTCGTGTTGTGGCGACCCTTTAATACAGTTCCTTCATATTGTAGCGCCCCTTTAATACAGTTTCCTCATGTTGTGGCGACCCTTTAATACAGTTTCCTCATGTTGTGGCGACCCTTTAATACAGTTTCCTCATGTTGTGGCGACCCTTTAATACAGTTTCCTCATGTTGTGGCGACCCTTTAATACAGTTTCCTCATGTTGTGGCGACCCTTTAATACGGTTGCCTCATGTTGTGGCGACCCTTTAATATAGTTTCCTCATGTTGTGGCGACCCGAGCGTATACTAGGGGTGCCGCGAGCGTATACTAGGGGTGTCGCGAGCGTATACAGTGGGTGCCGCAAGCGTATACTAGGGGTGCATGGAGCTTATACCTGGGGTGCCGCGAGCGTATACTAGGGGTGCCGCGAGCGTATACTAGGGGTGCCGCGAGCTATACAAGGGTGCATGGAGCTTATACCAGGAGTGCCGCGAACGTATACTAGGGGTGCCGCTAGCATATACTAGAAGTGCCGCGAGCGTATACCAGGGGTGCCGCGAGCGTATACCAGGGGTGCCGCAAGCGTATACAAGTGGTGCAGCAAGCATATACTAGGGGTGCATGGAGCGTGTACCAGGGGTGCCGCGAGCGTATTCTAGGGGTGCCGCGCAATAATCAATAATTTTTCAAAATCTGTTTGAGATCAGCGAAGACAGCAGTGTAAACAAAAATACAACGAAGGAAGACAAGAAGAATTCTGGGTGCAACTGTATTCAGAGGACAATGCTTGGCAAGGCTGCAGTGAATTATCAACGTACGCTTACATAAAAAAAAAAAAAAACACACACACACACAGACACACACAGATACAGCTGCAATATTCAAGTGATCCGGGGGTACAGTTAAGTAAACTACCCATAAACATAAAGGAAATAATAGCGGGAAAAAAATCATCCAAACAGTTTCATTCGTCGCATTAAAAACCAACTGAACATTAAATTTGAAGTTTCTTTCTCCCCCCCCCCCCCCCTTTTTCTCTCTTTCCCCCCCCCCCCACACAATTATTTTTGCGAGGGGAGGAAGCAGCCCTCTTTATCCATATATGGAAGTTTTCTTTCAAAGTATATTTTGAGACATTTCTTATTATTACAAGTGTAAAATAAATTGTGGATCATACAGCACATT